GACGGTCCACCCATTATTTTTTTTTATTTGCTTCATCTCATGCATTTAAATTTTAAATCGATCGATTTTAAATTGCCGCGCGTACCCCTTCATGCAATTTTGCGTACCCCTGGGGGTACGCGTACCACTAATTGGGAACCACTGCACTAGGCCACCACAAAATGAGGTGGCAACCGTGGGCGAGGATACAGTCGGTTCCAATTAACAGCAGATTTAAAATGTAGTTGGATTGGATAACATGCATGAGAATTGAAGAACAATATCTTGACCAAACTATCCCTAAAAAATCATAAGGTTCAATTTGGATTCGAAGTTTGAATTCCTCGCAACTAAAGAAAATATCTTACATGTAATGATCCAGTTTAATAAATTACGATAAAATTAATTTTCTTATAAATAAATTTAAAAAATATTTTTAGTTAGTTTTATAAACTTTTATGTATATAAACTCCAATATTTTGATTTTAAATCGAATTATTGTTTACAAAACTTTGGATTAATAATCTATTGAAATTTTTTTCTTCTATTTATTTGAATTTCTAGTTAAATTTTGTTCACTTTAACCGAATCAAGAAAGCACATATTCAGGATCGCCGAGAATTTTTCCAAATGGAATTATATCTTTTATTTGCTTTTACTTTTCTCTTAAGTATTAGCGATTCAATTTGGTAGGAAATTGTTTGATTTTATCTGTTGATACTTTTGACGCTTTTCATTTTATTTTTTCCCCATCAGTTAACAGCATTATCTATTGATCAATCTATATGCTGTATTATATTTACGTGGAGCAAACTGTTCGTCACTATAATTATTTTTCCTTTATTTAAATTTTTAAACAATTACGTCAGATTTAAAAAACTGAAAGTTAATAAAATTTTATTTTTATTTTACGTATTAATTTTTCCCGAATAATTTATTCAACATAACTTTTTGATTCGTAACTTTAATGTTTAATGACGAAATTACACGTAAGCGAGCTACATTAACGAATAAATTATTCATGATAATTAATACGGTTTAAATATCAACTTTCAAGAACAATTACTTTTCGATAGATTTTAATATAAATACATTTTATACGATTAATCCGATGAGTATCCAGGTAGGCTACATGAATATGGGAGTTACAAGTATTGTACACATCAGTATCAAATTAAAAGCATTTTAATCAATAACTATTTCTTTTATTCATTACTTTTGAGCGAATAATATTATTATTTTTAATTTAAAACAAGAAAAATCAGTCTAATCTTGGAAATATCTCAATATTTGTTAAAAAGATTTTCCTCCCTAACTCTTTCTGCCTGGGGACCCTAAGAGGGCCTTTTTGTTTAGCAATGCGTTTGACCAGTCTCATAATAGAGAGACTGAGTGTGAAGGATGGAACCCAACATATTTGGACGGACCATCCCAAAAAATCCCTGGATTTTTCGACTCAGTCTGGATTCGATCCTGGATCTCTAGAGCAGCTTGGCAAACTTCAATCCGACCGTCTAAAATTGAAAAGACTCGTTGTAACCTTTTAAAGATAATATATTTTAAAATAACGTTTGATTCAGAAATGTATTTTCATATACACTTGAATATCTGTTTATTCGTTAAATAAGTATTAATATTATAAAGCCTATGTAAATTAATTTCTTATATGACTAGAGCCATGGCTAGAGCATTTGTCATCAGGAGCAAACTTAAATATGGTACCTTTTGGATAAGCCTTTGGTCAGTCTGTTATAAATTTAAAAATCATAAAAAAAACTGTTTATTAACATGATGAATATTATATTTCAATACAGCAGAAAAAGTATCAAAATATTACTAAAAAATCGCAGCAATGTTTCATTAGTTTCACTTTCATTAAAAACTTATAAACAATGCTAGAATTTTGACTCGTCATTCTCATCATCTCGACGCCCTGGACACTTGCCCACTCTGACCCCGCCTTTTCACGGCGCTGTATAGACACACTCACGAATTCATTTGATAAATAATATAAAAATAATGGTTTATTCTGACAACACTTCTCGCAAATTTAGCATTCTATCCGTAGTAAATCATATTGACCTAAATCTTTACTTAAAAACAAATAAAAGAAACAAAAATATCTAGATTTAATTTTTATATTAGTATATTATACATTTAAAAATATTTATAATTTTAAATTTTCTTCTGAGGAATTTTTAATGTTAAGACATACAAAATCTCCTTTAGAATTAAACAAAAATTAATTATGAATATTAAAGATAATAATTAAATAATTTTATTACCGATTAATTAATGTTTGTGAAGGTTTTCCTCTTTGTAAATATGCTATGTTCATCTCAAGCTAGTCTCAATTTAAGTTCGATTATAATAATAAAATTGTATATAAATAAAAAAGACTTTTTTTCCTTATTATGTAAATACGAAAGCATTTTATTTATTATTTATTATTAGATAAATGTATTTTTTTAATCAAATTTTTTATTTAATTATTATAATTAAAACACCTTTAAACAACTAAATTAATTTGAAGTGTATAATTAAATAAATAGTTGCTAAAAAAATAACTACTTGTGTAATGATTTTCGAAATATATGGCACGGTCTTTAAAAGAAAATGTTATAAAAAATTCTATGAACGATAAAAAAAAGAGCCATATGACTATTAAGAGATATGTAAAGTAGGACGCGGATTAAGAAAAAAAATTGAAAAAATAATGATAATAAAATGATCACATTTAATTATAAAAAATAACAAATATTTATCGATTAAACTATAAAAACATTATTAATATACTGTATTCAGAAACGTTTGAAGATTTTATAATCAATATTTAATATCTTATAAAAAATTTTCCCCAATGGTTAAACAATAAAATGTAATTTAAAAATTATATTTGGAAAAAATTAAATAGAACAAAACTAAAAAAGTCTAAGATAATTTTATTTCAAAATTCGATATCTATCAAATATTATGCAATTATAAAATCGATTGCTTGTTTTTACAGATAGGTGCCGCTAAGTTTAGATGTAGCAGATGTGACGTATAACGCATCACTTATCTAAACGATATCGTACCGGAGATGGTATTTTCGATTTAAAATTTATAAAGTTGAATTAACTCTCTTCAAATAAGTCGTAACAAATATTTAAAAGTATTTTAAATATTAATAAAAACTATTTAAATTTTTAAAAATTAATTTTATAAAAAACAGTTTTTTTTTTATTTTTTTTAATCAATGTACGGGAAGAATTGGATGTATGTAAATACTCGAAATATCACGACTTTTATCTTAAATGATAAAGCAAATTTATATCGTAAAGAAGTTTATTGATAAAAAAATATTATAATTTTATATTAAAATATTTTTCGCTATTATTTTCAAGTTACAATTTTCGATTGACAAGAAAATAGCAACTTTAAGCGGGAGACCATGTAATGAACAGAATAGCCGCATGCGCAGAAAAGATATTCGTCGATATCTTCGCTTTTCCTTTCGCCCTGCTGTCGATTATAGGAGAAAAACTTTGAAAAGGTAAAAGATGAAAATTATACAATGTAATCCGTTTTTATCTTTTATTCCTTTTTTAAAAATATTTTAAACGTAAATAGCGTTTTTACAACGTTTATTCTTCTTCGAAAATACAACGCCGTATTTGGCTGTTAAAATTACTTGTCATCCAATCGAAATCCGTTTTTTATTAAAAGACGAAAAGAATTTTTAAAAAATCTTAAAACGTATTTTTAACGTAAAAATTAATTTGAATTATAACATATTATTAATTTACATCAATCGTAAGAAATTTTTCACGGAAAAGTTTAAATTTTCTAACTTTCGGGAAAGGAAGTGAAATTATTTTTACTTTCATCGATACCTCGTATTTTAATAAACAGTTAATTAGAGACAATAAAACGAATTATATTATTTTTCCTAAAATATTTTTAATTTAAAGAAAAAACCCAACAGTTTAATTATAAATTAAATACGCTACACGCCAAATAAAACTTTCTGGTGTTACAATCGATGTTGATCGGTGTTGTAGTTCGTCCTTCGAAAGTGTTTGTTTCGCGGTTGAAATTGATTAAAAAAAATCACATGGGATTTATTTATTAAATCAAATATCTAATTACATTTTAAGAATATTTCTTAATAATTTCTATGCTCAATAAAATTTTATTTTTATTTTACGTATTAATTTTCCCGAATAATTTATTCAACATAACTTTTTGATTCGTAACTTTAATGTTTAATGACGAAATTACACGTAAGCGAGCTACATTAACGAATAAATTATTCATGATAATTAATACGGTTTAAATATCAACTTTCAAGAACAATTACTTTTCGATAGATTTTAATATAAATACATTTTATACGATTAATCCGATGAGTATCCAGGTAGGCTACATGAATATGGGAGTTACAAGTATTGTACACATCAGTATCAAATTAAAAGCATTTTAATCAATAACTATTTCTTTTATTCATTACTTTTGAGCGAATAATATTNATTTTATTGATATATTAAATATTCCTGATGAAATATTTAACGTAAATGTAAAGAAATTATGGATAAATATTCATTACTGTATTCAGTAAACGAAGATTTAATTTATTTGAATGAAATGTTTCTAACATTTGTGAATATCGTAGTACTCTATGCTTCGTAGATGGCGCCATTATCTATTTCATTGTTTACATATTTTCCCCGTTTCCTTTTTAAGAATTTTTTCATAAGCAAAAATGTATCCATTCTTTACAAATCATACTTATGGAATCATCATTAACAATATTTACCAATTTAATCTGATGATCGAAAACACTATATAAATAAAAGAAATAATTTTTCATTATGAGAGGGGGAAATAAAAATAAATATTCATTACAAGCTCAGTTTATTAAAAAATGATTTGCTGATAGTTTAAAGTATAAAATTTATCAAGTAGTATTTAGTTTTTTAATTTTTATATGTTCTCTATCTATACAAAGGGTTTTTTTTTATATTGAATATTTTTTATAGGTAAATATGACTTCCATAACATCAGTTCCTTTGACACAAGAAAATCCTCCTCTAGTAAAGAAACTTATCACAGAAACCGAAAAGCATGTTACGACGATTGCTACGATTCCTCCGCCGGCCGGAATGATTCGACCTTTGGTTACAATTGCGGGAACGCAAACGTCGGTTTCTTCGTCTGCTCCTATGATCAATCTGACAATTAGTAATGGTGAAATAAGAACAAATCAGTCAATTCCACCATCCGTTGCAATGGTTACAGGTAAATAACTTTGTGGATTGCATTTTAAAAATTAAAAAAAAATTAAACAATATGACTAATATTTGGTAGTATTATGGAATTTTATGTATTTTATTTAATTGCATGTTGAAAATATAATGAAATTACTTAAAGTTGTTTTTACCTAGTTTTAAAATTCTTGAGATATTTCATATATTCATTTTTATTTATGCTATTCTAAATTTAAATGTGTTTAATTAAATACAATTTTATTATTAAAGTGCAATTTACTTTCTTCACATTGAAATTTGAAGTGTACGTATTAAATAATATAACACGTGTTCATACTTTTTTTGTATAAAGCTGGGAAGTAAAATATTTTAATAAATTGATAGGAAAAAGAAATCTGATACCAGTGATGGACTGGGCTTTAAGTTGTCACCGGGAAATGCTTCTTACCAGTGCATAAGAAGTGTTATTGGTGCAAAGCACTGAGAAAAGGAGGTCTACCTCCTCCCCACAGAAAATTTTGAAACTTCTGAGATGAATTTAGAGAAATTTCCTTGCTGGAAATGAACCAAACTTTTTGTTATTTGGAAAATGAAAACTAAGTAATCCACCCTATCTTGTGCAGTTTTAATTCAGTCTCCATAATACCATTTTTTCCCTCCTGACAAATTTAAAGGGAAATATAAATGAACTTGAATGAAATTGGCCTTAAAAGTTTAATTTTGTCTTTATATAATCTTAAAATTTCTCCTATGAAGGTTTAAAAAATAATTCTAAAAGTTCTACTGACATATGATTAACTTTTATAATAATTTCATTTTTTAGCAACTAGGTCTGCAATGCTATTTGGTGCAATGTCATTCAATGCCATGCAACACATTTTTCTTTATGTACTGTGCATAAGCAATGTAGCTTTTAAATATTCTTGTGTAAAAAGAGACCTTGATTTTGATTATATCTGAGATAGTTTAGGAATAGTAGCAGTTACATGCTACATCTCATGACAAGTATAGAGAGCATGTTGGATTGGATAGTTGCACCGGAATAATGAAGGGAGAGTCTAGATTTATGAAATTTCTGGATAAAGGCAAGACTGGAGTATTGCATTGAATTTGGGACTTAATATGATGTCACAAAAATGCTGCAGAAAAAATACTAACATTACTAATTTTTGCTATGGTAATATTCACAGTTTAAACCTGTAGATGTCAATATAGTACAAAATTAACAACATAACTGTCTATCGGCATCATGAAAAAATTTATTTTTACAAGTACTTTCAACACTATATACATGTTCTTTTCAGGGAATATTATCTTTCACAGAGAAACAGAATGCTATTATCACCCCAACCTACATTGCACAGGGCCCTTTGCAATAACAGAGACAATGTCACACTCTGGAGTTTATGCTATTCCATTAAAAAATTCACTAAACTGGGTCAAATTTGATATATATATTGGGGTGACTATCAGTTGCTCCTCCCCATCTTGCAGAGCATCATGTAGATGTTACACGTAATAGGTGTACAACAGAGCTAGCTGAACAAGTAATAGAGGATAAATTTAATCTGTTTTGGTCACAAACATTCTCCTGAGATGATACGGGACCAAAGAACATTATTTATCTGGAAGTCTCTTGCATCGGTGTCACCATGCAACTCTTTCAAACTTGACCTATCAGAACTGTGGACAGTGCTGTTTAAACTTCTAAGGTCATAAGTTGCATATTTTGCACTAAAAAGCATTTTGCTTCATTAATGGCTCTGCTGTGTGTTAATCTGTATTCATATATTGGTTTAGAAATTTTTATTAGTTTTATGTTATTGTGTACTCAGGTTGTTAAAAAATTTTGTGATTTTATATATTTCAATTATGTTCCATGTTTATGTGTGAGGAATAATTTTTTTTAAATGTTACTGTTTGTATTCCATTTTTCAACTAGTAGCATTCTGTTCTCTTTAAATGATAATATTACATTAAGAAGGCAATTAAATACTGTCTCAGGTTCTTGCATAAATAAACCTTTCTGTAATGTCAATAGAAGAAAGTGCTAAATTTGGTTTGAAGCTAAATGTAAAGAAAACTAAACTAATGTCAACTAAAGAGTTAAAAGATTTCATTGTGGATGGTGAAAGAATTGAAGTGGTAGAAAGTTACATACTTTTGGGTTCAAAGATAGAAAGGAATGGAAGTTGTGAAGGAGAAATCAGGAGGAGAATTAACCTTGGTAGAACAGCCATGGCAAATCTCACCAAGATAATGAAAGATAAAGACATTTCCATTCATACTAAGAAAATAATTGTAGAAGCAATGGTTTTCCCTGTAACATTATATGGCTGTGAAAGCTGGACTCTAAGAAAAAAGGAAAGAAAAATGATAGATGCATTCGAATTATGGGTATGGAGAAGATTACTTAGAGTTCCATGGACAGAAAAGAAAACAAATATCTCAATTTTAGAAAAAATTAAGCCAAGCTTCTCCTTAGAGTCAAGAATCTTAAAACAAAAATTGACCTACTTTGGACATGTGATGCGTAAAGAAGTTTCCCTAGAGAAGACTATTATGCTGAGAAAAGTGGAAGGTAGAAGGAAGAGGGGAAGGCAACGGATCAGATGGATGAAAGAAATAGAGAAAGTCACAGAAATGAAGCTGGAGGAGCTACGAGAGACAACAAGAGAAAGATTAAGATGGAGAAGACTTGTCCATGAAGTCACCAGGAGTCAATGACGACTCGATGGAACTTAACAACAACAATGTCAATAGACAGTTGTGTTGTTAATTTTGTAACATTACTTGGCATCTAGTGTTTTTACATTTTATAACTATCACTAGAGTAACAATAGATTTTGATTTGGAATTATTTTTAAAATAATATCTGCACTGCCTGGATAGCTAAGGTGGTTAAGGTGTCAGCCTATTACTCTGCAGATCTGGGATTAAATTTAAGTAGGCTGAAAAACCCCAGGAATTCTTCAGGGTGGACTTCTCTGGATATGTTGGATCCTGTTCCTCACCCTTGTTTAGGTCCATGGTGGATTTGGCAGGTCTAGCAAGTGGACTTGGAAAAAAAGACATACATATGAATTAAAAAAACATACATATATAGATTTATACATATTGTCCATAGATCTTGGCTGGGTGATGTGTTGTACTCAGTTGGGACTCTGGAAGTTTTAAAAAGTTCAATCTTTTTAGTAATGCACAATGATTTTAAGATTTACTGATAATTTATCAACAATGGCAAAGACTTGTCAATAATGTTTCCTTCACTAAGTAAATAGACTGGTCCCTGCTGCCTAGCATTTTTATATCCTGGTCAGGATTAATTAAAGAGCTATAAGTTAATATTTGTTTATAATCATGTAATATTTAAAGCAGAAAATAATTAAATTAATTCATTGTAACAGAAATTAATTGCAATTTATCTGTATATGTGCTATAATTGTAGTATGTGTAAATTATGTGTGTGTATAGATATGCATAATACACATCAAATAGAATTTTCATATCTGTCTGTTTTCTATATACTTCTAAGCTTTTTTACTGATCTGCAACAAATATTTTCATACTTATTCTCTAAGACCCCAAGGAAAATATAGGCTATAATAAACTCAAAATACACCTTAATCTAGTAACAAAAAAAAATTTAATAACTGAACTAATGTTTTCTGATGATCTTACATAAAGATTATCATCAGGTTATCCCCTTGACACTTCATGATAAACATAACAATGATAAGCTAAAATATCCAAACTTTTACCATGGCTTTTATTTTAACATTTGTTCCATGTTCCCCAAAATACTAGTATATTTGCTACTTATCAATAAAAACAAATATCAATACTTATGAACTATAATAAAAATAGAACTATTTCAAATATATTTATAAATTTAAAATACTTAAATTAATTTCATTATTCCTAAAAAGCCATGTAACTTTTTCATTTAGTTCAACTTCAAATCCAGATAAGAGTTCACTGTTTTGTGAAAAGCCATATTCATAAAATTACAGAATGAAGAATGCATTGGTAGTTCTGACTGGAACTGTCTTAACAATTGTTGTGGAAGAATTCCAAGTAATTCTGAATCCAGAATGGTTTCTTTGAATGCAGTGGAAATTTATAGATCTATAGTTTTTTCAAATTGTAGCCCAATAATTATAAATACTAATACTACTACTAATAATAATAATAATAACTCTCCCGTGGTCACCACCTGGTCGTGGTGGGAGAGCCCAGTAATTTTACTGAACCATAGAGCAATGCAAGCTGGAGCACAAGCTCCTGGCAGGGACACCCATGCCAGTAAGGTCTATGGGGAGAAATGAAGCTAAGAGTGACCACACACCCACATTCTGTGGAGATATTTATCATGGAAGTAACCAGATCTAAGTATGATACCGGCTCGGACATCGCCCAGGTTTACAAGGTCTGCATTCATGGGTTAGGCAGAGGCTCACGTTTGAAAAATAGGCTCCAGTCTCCCTTGGTTACCAGTGGCAAAAGCAGCGCCGGCCCAAGAATGGCTACTGCAATGCCCTCAACAGATGTGAGGAATCAACCTAGCCTTGGTGTTTCTGTGGCAATGCATCCACAGACTACAAAGGCTGGAAAACCACGCCAATGGATGAAATGGACATCAGAAACGAACAAGTTTATCATCTGTACTTACTACACCATCACAAGACTTGAAACAAACATGACAGCATACAGACAACAACTACACCATAGATTCACACAACAATATCCTCATCTCACTGTCACTGAACAAAGGGTTGTTGATCAAAAACTAACAATTATACACAACAACCTTATCCCACAACCAACACTTGAACTTATCAAACAACAGGTTGCTGATCAAATACATCAACAGACAGAAACATGTAACATTAATGAAGATCACATAACCTGTCAGGATAATCCAGCAACAAGCATTGATAATAGTACACATACAACAACTACCATTACTGATACTACAGACACTTCTTCATCCATCACTGATAACGTAGATATAGATTTAGTTAATACACT